CTTGTGTTTCTCTGTTTATTTAGAGTTTCTTTGATTCCTTTCATGAGCAATTTGTAGTTTTCAATATACACATCATGTACATATTTTGTTGCATGTACACAAGGAATAATTCCTTTTTTGAGCTATTGCAAGAGAATTGTGTGAGGAAAAACTGCCACCCATCATATGAGGTTAGAAATCCAGAGATCTGTGATAGAACCCAGAGTGTGAATTGGCCTCAAAAACACGAATAGTTGGAGGTTGCAAGAGGAGCCCTGAGAATTGGCAGGGAACATATGGGCTTAAGGGTAAAGGAAAGTGGGGACGTGGGTGCAGTGTGTGGTATAATATGGTGGAGACAGCAGCTGCGGCCTGAGCCATGCCATCCAGCACAACCGTGGCAGCAACGGGCCACATCCTTTTCAATATCATCCCATTGGTTACCAGGATTGTCTATGATGCAGAATTCCTGATAAGTGCCACATCTCACTTGTGGCCAAAATGTGCACTTCGCCTTGGGACCATTCTAGGGTCACTAACCCCACCTGATGAGCCTCCACGAACACCCCCAGAGCCTCCCCGATAGTAGCCTGGAGGATGAGACAAAAGTAAACCATTCATACTTCGTGTGAGATGGAAATTTAAAGGACTGACCCAAAGGAGTGGTGCCTTTCACATCCCGCTTCTGGAAAGAGTCACACAGTCAGAGAGCAGAACCTTTGTTGTGCTGGACAGGAAACTATGTGAGGTCCGCAATCCTGGCACTCTCAGCCCCTCGCTTAGACCTGCTAGTTGCCCTTCCCCTATGCAAACAACAGCCAAGCCCTCCTTGGACCCACGCTGACACCAGGAGCTGCCACTGCAGGGGAGTGAACATCATGAGCAGCCCCTGAGGCTGAGGGCAGGAAGGGGATGGGGGTCTCTTTTACTGATGCCCACTCCCCTCCAGCCCCATGCTCTGCAGGTGCACCCACCACTTCCTCAGGTCAGGTCTGTTGTCCACTCGGGGTGAGGGGTTAACTGCCCTCCCACCTCCTCCAGGAGAGGAGCTAAAACCACCACCAGACCAAGGACCTAGAGACAAAATAGAATAAAGGAAGGAGAAAGTTCATTAAAGATTGCTGTGTCTGGCAGTGTAAATTCTAACTAAAATAGAAATTGACCTGGGTGACAAGGAAAGCAAAGCTTTAAACCATGCTCTAAATGGTGATGAGAGCAAGCTAGGAATTCCTTATGAGAAATGCATTGTTTCGGCATCTGTGTGCAACCATCTGTGGGCCTAAACACAGCTAGAAAACTGGAAGGTGACATCCTGCCCTGAGACACAGCCTCACGATGGGGAAACATAAGGTTCACCTGGCAAGAAGTGAACCTTCCAAACTGGCTGACATGTTTTGTAATTTACAGAATATGTGGAGAGAATAAAAACGATTGGGTGAGAATGAAGTCACACGCCACAGAAAAACACGCTTCATATTTACTTTGTAATTACTTTATTTGAATAATTATAAACTTTATTTGAATAATTAAGAACTGTGTTTAGGATTGTTGTTAAGAACGAGACTTTTGCAAACTGATTGGAGTTCAGACTTTTTCCCATAGTTCTTATGTGCTCTGAGCAAGTAAGTGAATCTCACTAGGCCTGGAAGCTATCTCTGTAAATGAAGTAAACAAGACTCCCTACTACACAGGTTGTGGTGAGAGTTAATGGGGATATCACTTACAATCTGCCTAGAATTGAGCACGTTAAACACTAGGCCTGCAATGAAGATTACTTATTATCTTTGCAGTCAATTAAGCATGACTGTATGCAAAGATCCACCATTGGGCATCTCATAAATCTACATTTCCCCCCAGCTGCCCTGGAACACAGTAGAATCCTCTTTGTTCTGGTACTATAATATCAATATTTTGCCTGAAGTAAAGGCTGAAATCCTTACAAAGCCTCAAAGCAGAATGATATCTAGTGGCTCCCTCATGAGAAATAGGACCCTTATTACAGGGCTAAGTCACATATTTTTCAAGGATTGAAGGAATTTCTGTCTTTTTGGAGAGATCAGATTCAGTAGATTTCTGTCCATTGTGATCAGATAAGCCTGCACTGGAACACTAAGACTTCATTCTTGTTTGTTTAGTTATTTTCATTAGTTTCGTAAAAAGCCCAGGTCTGCCCAGTGCTTCGGGAAGGTGCTATTTGTCATTGAGTTTTTGATAGCTATATTGAGGGTGACATTTCCTTTACTTAAACTCTAGGTAGGATGCAGCATGGAGAGACCTTTGATACATATCCCAGGGCAATACTTCTTATCTATGCCTGAAATATTTCTTCTCCTTAACAGGAATCTCTGTTCTGCACCTCCCCGTATTACTACCCAAAGTAACACTTGGAGGTAATAGAAGCTTCCGGGGATAGAAACATGGCTTGTATCAGACTAATATTCTCTCAGAAATCCCTTATGGACTCTAGATTAAAATTTTAAAAAGAGCAGAAAGAAATACAGTGGAGTCATCCATTGAAATAATCAAACGTTACCATATGGGATTCGAAACTCTATGTTTGTTTGTTTATGCGTTTGTTTTAAGATCGTTCCTCAGCCTGCACAGATCAGCCAAAATGCCATCAGAAGCCTACAGCCTTCCTCTTAGAAGACGCAGAGGACTCAAGTTCCTGGCAGGTTGAAAAGTCAAGAGGGATATCACCAAAAGGGGGTGTCACAGAGATATGAGCCCCCAAATCTCATATAAGCTAAGGCAAAAGCTTTTGCTGTCCCTTGTACCATGTGTACATAGGGAAGTCTTAGCAGCCAACAAGCAACCCCAGTGTGATGGCTAAAAGGATTGAGCATTTATTTCATTCACAGCTAGAGATAGAAAAGACAGAGCTGGGGTGATGTGTACAGGCAAGATAAGAATAATCTGGAACAAATACCAACACTGTATTAGTCAGGGTTTCCAAAGAAATGAAACCAATAAGAGATACATAGATAATAGACAGATACATAGATAATAGATAGATAGATAGATAGATAGATAGATAGATAGATAGAGAAAAATATTTATTATAAGAACTGGATCACACGATTATGGAGGCCAAGAATTCCCATATTCTGCCATCTGCAAGTTGGAGAAGCAGGAAAACCAGTGGTGTAATTTGGTCTGAATCTGAAGGCCTGTGAACCAGGAGTGAAAGCATCTGAGGGCAGGAGATGATGGAAGTCCCAGCTCTAGCAGAGAAAACATTCACCCTTCCTTCACCATTTTGTTTTATCCAGGCCCCCAATGGACTAGATAATGCCCACACACATTGGTGAGAGCCATCTTCTTTACCCAGTCTATCAATTCAACGTAAATCTTTTCCCAAAACACTGCCACAGATACACTTAGAAATAATATTTTAACAGCTATCTGGGCTTCCTTTACCCTAAGTCGAGTTGACACAAAATTAACTGTCACACCCTTAAGAGTAACAGCAGTGGAACAAGTTAACAGTAAGTTAATGGAATATAACATTATTATAACATAATTGCCATAATATCCATTATTCAATCAAGAGTAATTAGGAATACAAACAGGAAAAGCTGACTCTAATCAAGAAAAAAAATCAGTCAACAGAAAAGAAAGTCAATAGAAAATGACTCTGAGTTTCCCCAAATGTTGGAATTAGCTGAGAAGCTGTTGAGACAGAATAAAATATAGAGGTATATGTGTATATGTATGTTAGCGTCGGAGCGTGTGTGTGCATGTGTGTGTGTGCACAAATAGATAAAGAAAATCAGCAGCAAATGGAAATTATGGGGAAAGTAAAATAGGCAAGACATGATTCTCGAGCTGAAAAGAACAAACATCTGAAATGAAAATAATATTTCAGCCTGAGCTGAACAGAAGATTAGAGAAAAATAAAATGAAACTCAGTGTACTTAACTCAGTGTATTTATGTACTTAACATAAATAATTAGAAATTATCCAATGAAAATAGAGAGAAAAAAAGATGAAAAAATATCAGCAGTTCCTCAGTGACCCTCTTAGAGGACAACATTAAGTAGTACTGTGTGTAATTGTTGTACCACAAAGAGAGGATATAGAAAATGAGGCAGAAAACATTTGAGAACATGATGGTCTAAAAAATATAAACATACATGCCCAAGATATTCATTGCCCACAAGGATGTTAACCACATACAGAATCACACAAATGCACATCAGCGTCCTACTGCTGAAAGCCCAAGATTTAGAGAAGCTTCTGAAAGATTCAAGACAAAAAAAATGATATATTTCATATTACATAGAGGGAAATAGCATTTAAATGATGGCTGATATCCCAGCAGTAATAACAGAGGCAAGGAAATTAAAGTTCTACCCCTGTTTATTTGAAAACTACGGGACTTTTTAAGAAAAAACAAACAAAAAAAATATTGAATGGGGTGATTTATTTTGTATGGATGATACAGGTTTGTGTGTGTGCCCGTGAGATAATTTCGTAAAACCAATGACACATGTAAGTCCAACAGCTCTGTAAGGCTAGTGGATTTGTACAGTCAGGATGCACGTGGGCTACGTGACAGATTCCATTAAGATACGGGCTGAGATAACAGCTGGGAGAAAAAAGACAAAAGTGAAGTCAATTCATCAACTGCTATTGGTCACAGGTTGTAATAACGAGGGGTCAATCGCTCAAGGGAAGCAGATGGAGGGGAGGTTTTAGTCTCACTTCCCCACAGCCCTGGGGCACTGTGTGAGCTTTGGTGCTGCCGCTTGTCTCCCATGATGAACAGTAATAATCAGCCTCGTCCTCAGCCTGGAGCCCAGAGATAGTCAGGGAGACCGTATTGCCTGAACGAGAGCCAGAAAACTGAGCCAGGATCCCTGAGGGTCGAGTGGTGCTACCATAGGTGAGGAGTTTGGGGGCAGCACCAGGGAGCTGTTGGTAACAGCCTGAGCCATAGTATCCAATATTGTTGGCGTTTCCAGTGCAGGTGAGGGTGACTGTCTCATCCAGAGACCGCGACACTGAGGCTTCCTGGGTCAGCCCAGACTGCGCCTAGGTCTCTGGAAGAGAGGGAAGAAAGACACAGAGGTGGTGAGTTTGGGATTCCAGTAAACACATCCTGGGCTCCAGGGTAAAGGGCTGAGCCCCTATGTCCTCCTGGGGTCCCATTTCCAGACCCTGAGGATCCAGGCACCTGTAAAGTGAGTGAGGAGGGTGAGGAAGACAGGGGTCCAGGCCATGGTGGGGATGCTCCCTGGGCTCTAGCTTCTGAGTCTCTCAGCTCAGACAGAGCCCTCTGATTTCTTTTATCCCTCCCCACACCCCAGGGGAGGGAGGGCTCCTTCATGCAAATCTATTCCTCCCACTGACTGTCCCAGCCCATCTTGTGCTCTGAGTCTGGTCATTCTGCTGGGTCTTGGTCCTGTAAGGGGTGGGGACTGGGACCAGGCTGGTCTGGGACTCCCCAGGGGCCCCAGGGAGTACCCGGCAGAGGGAAGCAGACTGCAAACACAGGCCGGTTTTCCAGCTGAGAGCACACTCACCAGACCCTTTCAGCTGCTGGCACTATCTCACAGCGCCCCCTGCTGTCCCAGGCAGGGATTCCTCCATGTGCGAGATAAGACACCAGGAGCCCCCTGAGAGGAATCAGCCTTCCTCACACCTTGCCCAAGCACCACATCCCAAAAAGGGCACAAATAGGGGTCTCATCTCTATGTTGCAGACTCATTTCCACACCTTAGCTTAGTCCAATTTGGTACTTCATCAACATGGACTCCTCCAGACAACTCCATCTGTTTCTAGAGCTGTGGAGGTGGGGTCTTAGAACCTGTTCTGAGAGGGAATTTGTCCTGCATCCAGCATAGAAGGACACTGGGCAGTTCCAGACCAGACTGGCCTCTTAGATGAGGAGGCCTGAGAGCATCAGCCTCGCTCTCCTTTTGCCCCTATAATCCCGACTGTCAGGATGCAACTCAGTCCCCTGACTATCCATTTGTCCCCATTAACCCTCCATGGGGACGGGTTCAAGGACATGGCACGCCCAGACAGCATTCACGGAGAGGGGCCATTGCTGACAAAGCCAGGTTGGCCTCCCTGGGAAGCTTCTCTCTGAGGTTCTTGAGGGGCCTCCAGCGCCCTCCCTGGTGAAGATGAGAAGTGAAGCCCTGAGGTGGGAGAGGGGAAGAAAGGGTCTCAAACAAGAGAAGAAAGAGGTGTGAGGTGGAATCTGGATCCTTGGGGAAGGGAGGAAGGAGAAGAAGGGAAACAGGCAGAAAGGACTGGGACCCACCTGAGGAGGGAAAATGATGGAGTAAGAATCAACTTGAGGATGCTCTCTGCTCTCCTGTGGACCGTGCATACACTCAATGAGAGAACACACTGTGGATCCACGGGATTTCAGACACTTAGAAGCAGAAAAGCAGGGTTTCAATCATAATAGGTTGTCCTGAATCGCTCTCCAGTGATACAGTTGACGATGAGAAAAGCCCCTGACGGATGGTCCTAAGATCTGGCTGACTGAGGCCACTGGCCTGTCTGGACTCTCTTTCTTGCCTTTTCCTTCTGCTTGTGAAAAAATATATATATTCCTAATGCCGTATCTTAAAACAAGCAAGTTGTAAAATCCCCCAACAGGAATTAACCCATGTTTCTAATCAGTTTTCTAACCTCTTAACCTACAGCCATCAGCTCATTAGAATTACTTTCCCTCTCCCACATTTCACAGGTGATGACTTAGTGAAATATTCGCCAATTAGTAAAATAGAAAACCATTTTGCAGCCTCCATAAAAAGTCTACTCAGTGTCAACTGTCTGAAATCAGGCACATTTTACATAGTCCACTATTTCTGTTACTGAAGCTCCTCCACTTTCAATTCTAACTCCTATAGCGGTCAGGATAGGTGAGGCCACAATAACGTATTATAGAAAAGTAGAAGTGGCTTACAACCCCAAAAGTATATTTCTCACTTGTACACCATTTCCATTCCTGACTGGCTGTGGCCCTGATCCACTTCATCTTCCTCCCAGGATGGAGCTGGCAGAGACAATTCTCGTGGTGACACTGCTGATCTCAACTCAGAGAGACAAGAGAACTTGGTGAACCACATTCTAATCTTACATCTCCTGCTGAGAAATTACACTATCACTTCGTCTCATTTCAGTGACTGAAACTAGTCACATGACCACACCTGAGTTCAGTAGACTGGGGAGGTGCCCACGGGGAGGGGTGTTTAAGATTGTGAAGAGCATTAGAGTTTTACTTTATCCTCATTTTACATCTGAGGAAACAGACCTAAGAAACAGACCTAAGAAAATGCTAAGTAAATTGTCCAACTCAGCAGGGCGCTGTAGAATTTCCTGCCCTGAAGAACGTGTTCTAATCTGCATTCTCATTTATGGTGGCCACGAGGCACATGAAGCCATTAAGCAGTTGAAGCGCAGCCAGTATGACTGGGAAATTGAATTTATAAATATTATTTAATCTTAATTAACTTAATTATCTGCATGTGGCTACTGGGGACTGTACCGGACAGTATAGGTCCCAGGATACGCAAATAGTGGCAGGGACCAAATTTGAACCCGGACACTCTGGTGAAGAGATATTACTGTCCACTCCTTTAAGCTGCTGCCCTTGTCTGTTGTCTTGTACCCGCACTGTAATGCAAACTCCATGAGTCCAGAACTCTGGTATGCTTTTATTCATGTTTGTATCCGTGCTTGAAAAATACTTCCTAAGATAATAAATGAAGATGGATGTGTTAAATTTTCATGTGCATTGTGTAAAAATTTAAAATATAAATTGTACTCATTCTGGCCAATTCTACTCCACACTCTGGTTGAGAGGAGATTCCACGTGATTGGGTCACAGGTTCTCTGACCTCATTTGAGTCTGTGTAACTGTTTGTCTGACAGAAGGGAAAGCAGAAGCACAGAGAGATGCCACATCTAGCCTTCCGCCCAGGTGAATGACAGAAACAGGACTCAAATTCAAAGGCCTCCTAATAGCTGAGAATATGTTCTTTTAACCCAGTGGTTCTCAAAGTGGGGTGATTTTGCCCCCACCCCAAGGGATATTTGGAAATGCCTGGAGGTGTTGTTGTTTGCTATGACTTGGAGAGTAGGGTGCTACCGGCGTCTGATGTGTGGAGCCCAAAGGATGCTTCTAAACCTCCTACAATGCACAGAACAACCCCCTGCATGAGGAATGATCCGGCCACATTCTAAGTAGGCTGAGGTTCAGAAACACTGTTTTGAACTAAATCATCTCCATGAAGTTATTGAAAAGGGAATAGGAAATCACCTATCAGGATGTGGTGGGGGGTTGAAAAGAAAATAGAGGATCCATATAAACATACAATCTCAATGTGAACCTTTCAGCAGGAGATAGGAGTGAGCAACCCTCCCTAGTGGAGACAGATTGAGGGTAGACCCAGGATGGGGAGGGTCTGGGGAGTTTTGGTCTCACTTCCCCCTGCATCTGGAGGACTGTGTGCTTATAGCCGCTGTCATAACTAGACTGACAGTAGTAGTCGGCCTTGTGCTCAGGCTGCAGCCCAGAGACGGTCAGGTAGGCAGCACTGGAAGAGCTGTCGATGGAGCCAGAGAACCGGTTGGGAACCCCAGAGGGTCTTTGGTCATCTCTATAGATCAAGGTGGTGGGGGAACAGCCTGGGCGCTGCTGGTACCACTGTACATATTTGTCTCCAATGTAGCCACTGCTGCGGGTGCAGGAGATGATGGCCTTCTGCCCCAGGGACTCTGACACAGGGTGGGGCTGAGTCAGCACAACCTCAGACCAAGACCCTGCAAGGAGGGAGCAAAACAGGGATCAGTGAGGACAGGACAGAGCCTATTCCCGGGGAGGAGGGAGCGGTCCCCATCCCAGGTGACATACAGGTGCCCTCCCAGAATTCCCTGCAGGAAACCACCCGTGCAGTAGGCAAGGAGAGTGAGGATGAGTGGAGCCCAGGCCATGGTGGGGACTCCCCCAGACTCTGCTTCCTGAGCCCCACAGTCAGGCCTGAGCCCACCAACCCTTCTTATGTGTCACCCTGATTATCAGGGTGGGAGGTCTCCATGCAAATCTTCCCCTTTCTGGAGGCTGTGCACGCCTTCTTCAACCTTAGCCTAGTCTGCATCTATGAAAAAGAGAGTGTAGAAGAGGGGAGGGCTTCACCCCAAGTATTACGCAGGAACACCAGCAAAAGACAGGGGGGAGAGGAGCTCGCAGCTGAGGAACTGGGGAGCATCAGCGCCCTCTGGTGGATGCAGGAGACTTGGCGACCTGGGCTGGCGCTTGTGCTCAGGGCTCCTGCCCTCGCCATCCCGCACCCCTCACAGTTCCAGCCATTTCAGATTGGCGTCTTTCACATAGAAATATGCACTTAAGGTTACTCCATGTCTTTTTGTGGCCTGATAACTATTTTTGTCGCTGAATCATATTCCATTGTATAGATGTACAGTGTTTGTTTATTCATTCACCTGTTAAGGGACATATTGGTTGCTTTCAAGTTTTCTGAAGGCTGTGCATGCCCCTCCTGAAAAATCATGAATAAAGCAGCTGTAAATATTTGTGTGCATCTTCTTGTGTAGACCCAAGTAACTCATTTAGATAAATATCTAGGAGTGTGATTTCTGTGTTGTGCCACATAACAATTCGTTTAGCTTTGTGAGAAACTGCCAAAGTGTCTTCAAAACTGGCTGTGGCATTTTGCATTCCCATTAGCATGAATGAGAGTTCCTGCTGCCCCACATCCTGGGCAGCATCTGGTGTTGTCGTGTGTTAAGTCTTAGCCATTCTAATAGGAGTCTTGTGGCCTCTTGTTTAAATTTGTAATAGCCCAATGACCTATTATGTTGAGCATCTTTTCACATGATTATTTGCCATTTGTGTATCTTCCCTGATAATGGGTCTGTTCAGATCTGCTCAATGGAGAGGCCTTGCCCAGTACCTGGGAATTCAGGAGCTCCACAAGTCTCTAAGATCAGGTGAGGGAGGGAAATACAGCTTCTCTAAGGTTTCAGAGCGGAGGGAATTATCAGCAAAGCCCCGGCTGGTAGAGTGGACGTATTGAGGGCTGGGCCAAGGGTCACCTGGTTTTCCCAGATCACACATGCTGCACTTTTCCCTTCTCATCTCCACCCAGCAACTGTGGGGGTTTTTTGCTTCTGGAAACAAAGTAATTTTGCTGGGAACAGGGGACCAATATCTCTAAAGGAGATATTTTCACTGACACCACAAAGTAGACTGAGTCGAGAGCAGGAAGCCCTCTGGTTTTAGTAGCACAAGTGACAGCAAAAGTCAAAACCTGAGTTGGTGTTAGTCACAGGAAGGGAATGGGTAGTGATGGGTCAGCCAGGGGAGTGGAGGGCAGATTTAATCACCGTTTCCCATGGAACAGGAGCTCTTAGTAGCAATGGGGTTGTGTTCAGATCTATAACAATGATAATCAGCCTCGTCCTCAGGCTGGAGCCCAGAAGTCGTCAAAGTGGTTCTGTTAACAAACCTGGATCTGGAGAAACAGGCTCTAACCCCTGGAAGGTCAGTCACCACTGTCCCAGGTCACACATGTAGGGGCTCTCCCTGGGAGTCCTTGGTACCATTGCCATGTTGGCCTTCAATGTATCTCCTGTTCTCTGTGCATGTACATGTATAACAACTAAAGTTGTCAGTGCCCCCTTAAATGATGCTTCAAACAAGGTATTCTTTCATTAGAATATAATTTAGAATATACTGACGTTTTTAGCATTTTATCCCTTGTGTGTTAAAACACTGCATTCCAACTATTCTCACAGAGTTGTTTTGGTTTAAATCTCCTAAAATCTGAAAGTGTGAAACCTCCACCTTTGTTCTTCTTTCTCGGGATTGCTTTGGCTATTTGGGGGTCTTTTGTTGTTCCGTATAAGTTTTGGGATTCTTTGCTCTATTTCCTTGAAAATTGTCATTGGGATACTGATTGGGATTGCATTGAATCTATAGATTGTTTTACGTAATTATGGACATTTTGATTATGTTAATTTTTCCAGTACATCAGCACAGAATATCTTTCCATTTCTTTTTGTCGTCTTCAATTTCTTTCAATAATATCTTATATTTTTCAGTGTATAGGTCCTTTACCTCCTTGGTTAAATTTATTCCTTGGTATTTAATTTTCTTGTTGTGACAGTAAGTGAAATTGTATTCTCAATTTTTCTTTCCACTAGTTTGTTGTTAGTGTACAAAATTGTGACTGATTTTTGTCTGTTGATTTTGTACCCTGCAACTTTACTGTATTCATTAACTGTCTCTAATAGTTTTTTGGTGGATTCTTTAGGGTTTTCTATATATAGAATCGTGTCATGTCCAAAAAGTGACAGTTTTACTTCTTCCTTTCCAACTTGGATGATTTTATTTCTTTTTCTTGCCTAGTTGCTCTGGCTAGGACTTCCAGTACCGTGTTGAATAAAAGTAGTGAGAGTGATCATCCCTGTCTTCTTCCTGTTCTTAGAGGGATAGCTTCCAGTTTTTCACTGTTGAGCATGATATTGGCTGTGGGTTTGTCATATATCACCTTTATTATTTTGAGGTACTTTCCTTTTATACCCATTTTATTGACTTTTTATGATAAATGGATGTTGCATCTTGTCAAATGCTTTCTCAGTGTCTATTGAGATGACCATGTGATTTTTATTCTTCATTTTTTTAACATAGGGTATCACATTGATTGATTTGCAGATGGTGAATCATCCTTGCATCCCTGCAATAAATTTCACTTGATCATGGTGTACAATCCTTTTACTATACTGTTGTATTCAATTTGCTAATATTTTGTTGAGGATTTTTGCATCTATGTTCATCAGCCATACTGGCCTTTGATTTTCCTTTTTTTATGTTTTCCTTGTCTGGTATTGGTATCATGGTAGTGTTGTCGTCATGGAATGAGTTAGGAAGTGTCCCTTCCTCTTCAAATTTTTGGAAGAGTTTAAGAAGCATAGGTATTATGTATTATCTCACTCATTAAGTAGTAGATAATAACAACAAACAAGCACATAGAGACAGAGATTGGATTGGTGGTTACCAGAGGGGAAGGGGGAAGGAAGGAGGGCGAAAGGGATAATTCGGCACATGTGTGTGGTGATGGGTTGTAATTAGTATTTGGGTGGTGAACATGATGTAATCTATGCAGAAATAGAAGTATAATGATGTACACCTGAAACTTAAACAATGTTATAAACCAATGTTACTGCAATAAACAAAAAATTTAAAAAAAAAAAGCATAGGTACTAAATCTCCTTTGAATGCTTGGTAGAATTGACCAGAGAAGCCATCTGGTCCTGTCTTTTGGGAGATTTTTGATTACTGTTTCAGTCTCTTTACTTGTGATTGGTCTATTCAGATTCTCTATTTCTTTATGATTCAATTTTGGGAGGTTGTATGATTCTAAGAATTTATCCATTTCTTCTAGGTTATCCAATTTGTTGGTGTAGACAATTTCATAGAAGTCTCTTTAATCCTGTGTATTTCTGTGGTATCCATTGTCATTCCCTCCCTCCCATTCCTGATTTTATTTATTTGAACCTTCTCTCTTTTTTTTTCTAGTGAGCCTACCTAAGAGTTTGTCAATTTTGTATATTTTTTCAAAGAACCAGCTCTTAGTTTCATTGAGCCTTTCTGTTGTCTTTTTAGTCTCTATTTCATTTATTTCCACCCTGATTTTTTAAATTTCCTTCTTTCTACTGGCTTTGAGCTTTTTTGGTTCTTTTTCTAGGTCTTTTAGGTGTACTGTTAGATTGTTTCTTTGTGATTTTTCTTGTTTCTTGAGGTAGGCCTGTATTGCTATATACTTCCCTGTTAGTATATCCCATAAGTTTTGCTGCATCCCATGAATTTCAGTATGGTGTTTTCATTTTCCTTTGTCTCCAGGTATTTTTTAATTTTTCCTTTGATTTTTTTCATTCATCCAATAGTTGTCAGTAGCATGTTGTTTAGTCTCCACATATTTGTGACTTTTCCAGCTTTCTTCTTATAGTTGATTTCTAGTTTTATACCATTGTGGTTGGAAAAGGTGCTTGATATGATTTCAATCTTCTTAAATTTATTGAGACTTGTTTTGTTTCACAACATGTGGTCTGTCTTTCAGAGTGTTCCATGTGCACTTTAGAAGAAATACATATTCTGTTGTTTTGGGATGGAACATTCTATATATATCTATTAAGTCGATCTCATCTAGTGTTTCATTTAAGGCCACTGTTTCCTTGTTGACTTTCTGTCTGGATTGTCTATCCATTGCTGTAAGTGGGGTGTTAAAGTCCCCTACTATCATTGTGTTGCATCAATTTCTCCCTTTAGGTCTGTTAATAGTTGCTTTATATACTTTGGTGCTCCTATGTTAGGTGGGTATATATTCATATGTGTTATGTCTTCTTAGTGGAATGTCTCGTTTGTCATTATATAATGTTCATCTTTGTCTCTTGTTATATTTTTTCCATGAATCTGTTTTGTCTGATATAAATATGGCTACATCCACTTTCTTTTGTTCGCCATTTCCTTCCATTCCTTCACTCTGAGCCTATGTTTGTCTTTAGAGCTGAGATATGTCTCCTGGAGGCAGCATATTATTGGGTCTTGTTTTTTAATCCATCCAGTTACTCTGTGCCTTTGATTGGTAAATTCAATCTATTTACATTTAGAGTGAGTACTGATATGTAAAATACAGACATTTTATTTTTTTTTTTTCTGGTTGTTCTATATTTCCATTGTTTCTTTTTTCTTGTATTTCTGTCAGCCATTTCAGTTTGGTGGTTTTCTGTGACGTTTTTCTCTGTTTTCTCTTTATTTATGATTTGTGACTCTGCTCTGATTTTTTATTTTGTGGTTACCTTGAGGTTTGTGTAAAAGATCTCATAGATGAGATAGTCCTTTTTCTGTTGATAGCATCTTATCTCCATTAGTCTATATAGGTTCCATCCTTTCCCTCTTCCCCTTCTATGTTTTTGTTGTCACAAATTATTCTTTTTTGTGTTGTGAGTTTGTGACTAAATTGAAGTGGCTATAGTTATTTTTGATGCTTTCTTTCTCTCTAACCTTTATATTATATTTGATTGTTTACTAACCTATTCTGATAGAGAGTTTCAATTTTCTGATTCTGTCTATTTACCACTT